CAGGGTCGCCATTGTTCATTGCACAACTTCGTTTCAGGGTAGAAAAGTTTCTGCGCGAGAGCGCCAAAAGTGCTTGGGCGCTCATGTAGAAAAGAAAATTTTTCAGCAAAATTTCATAATCAAAGCGAGCAGAAGAGGCGCTGCAGCGCTCTATGCAAACGATTTAAATTGGGCGCAAGCGTCCAAAGTGCGTAACAATTTGGAAGCTCACGAATGGGCTTGTGTTTCAGCACCCGAAACACTAACGCCCTCAGGTCCTATGCGCCCTCGTGCATTGCACGACCTCGCACATAGGAAAAAAAGGCCCTGATTCCAGAATCATTGAAAATCCGCTCATTTCAGCATATATTAAAATATTGCAATTTGCAATTTGCAAAATGCCGAACATTCACGCATACACAGCACGTTAATGCTTCCATGAACCGTGTCACATAATAAAATGCCAAATAAGTACAAATTGAATCAAACAAAATGTTCATTCGATATTACGTTGCATATGAAGACAAAGTACAGTACGGTATAAACAAAAGACGGAAAGGCACAATTACACACTCAAGAGAGGCACGATCCGAATTTACGTTCTGTAATTATGTGCATACAAACCGGGTGTACCGATTCTCTTTTCAATAAACAAAAAAAAACAACAACAACAACAAAACAAACATATTCGTAGTTCCAGCGTTGCCATTTACCATCCACAAAAATAATCGTCATCAGTTAAACAGCACAGTGTCAAATGTTGTGTGTACGCGTGTTTTTCTTCTTCTAAATGGAACTAACTCCACTCATTAACATTGTTGCATTTTCGATTTTTCGTTATTGTCATGTTCGTCGTTGCGTTTTTATTCTCCACAAAAATTAATTTTGCATAATTAACGCAAAAACGCATAGCATTCAGTGTTGTTTGGCGCAAGCCAAGCGCAATGTTTCAACATCATGCATTACATTAATACAGAACTGATTCTTTATGCAGACTGAAATCGAAATGGCAATTCTAAATTTGATTGAATTCTATTTGCGGGCTAAGCGCTGCGTTTTTTTCCCTACGGATCAACACAGTCATTATCATATACTTATACATATATACAAGCATTTATATATATATATATATATATATATATATATATATATATATTGAGAAGCGCATTCCATTTGAATTTGGACGAAGTTCAAGAGTTGTTTGTGTGTGTGTGTTTTTTTCCCTGCTGCTGCTGTTTCCGCCTCATTCTTCTTTGTCATTTCCAATTTCGTTTGGTATTTGTATTCGTATCATGAATATTTGAGGACAACGCCTCGAAAATTCTTTGAAATTCTTTCCCAATGTTGAATTTCTTCGTCAATGTTGTCGAATGTTATTTCACAGTATTCGAATGCAACTTAATTACGTTTGCATTTGCCGAGACAAAATCAATCGACAAGTTGGTAGAATGCATCGCGCGCGCAACAGAGAGACACATCTCTACTTTATATACGTAGAAGAAAATGCGCGCACACACACACACACACACACAGACACAGACACAGACACAGACACAGACACAGAGAAAGAGAGTGAGAGAGAGATAGAGGCGAGAACATTGATGAGATTATAAAGTAGCATCGCAGCGAAACATCCTCTATTACAAATGCAAATGACATGAACATTTGCAATTTCACATGTTCAACACAATGGATTGTTTACGCTCAGAATGCATGCAAAAATGGTCTGTGTCGTGATCGTTATCGCTTCGATGTTGATATTACTACTGCTCTGTCATTCTGTCACCGTCACCGTCACCATTGCTACCGTACATTTCAACACAGCTCGGACCAAAAATCAAAGTAGAACTTTTGTGAATCATGCAGAAAGAACGCGCTTCAATTTTTTGCTTCGTTTTTCTCCCTCTCTCTCTCTCTCTCTCTCTCTCTCTCCCTCTCTATTTTTCTCTCTCATAGAGAGTCTTTCTTCTTTCCTTTCGTTAGTTTCTGTACGTAACGCAACTGATTAATGACTTACTTCGATTCGAACACTTTGTTTCGTTCTCGCAAAATGCGAGAAACGCACGTTTTTCTTGATGAAAAATGCGGCCTGCAAAGTCCAATGTATGGCGGTTTAATGGACTCGGTTCCGATTTCACATTTTAAATAGTAATTTATTCTTGACGGTCAATTTGGTTTCCACGTTCGGGTTTTGTGTTGTTGTTATTTTTTTTAAGTTTCGTTTGTCTCTCCCCCTCTCTCGCGCATCGCGGCGTGATCTTGATAGTTCTGGCTGGTGGCAGCCGATGTGCCTTACATTGTAATATCTTTACGCTGGCGTGTTGTTTTTACGACCGTTTAATGTCTTTCTTTCTTCTTTTTCATTTTATTATTCTTTCTTTTGGCGTTTTCTGTGTGTGCTCAAGAGATTCCCATGCGTACATGAACGCACACACAACAAAATATTTTTGAGTTCTTGGGATCTGAATTACGCGCGAGCTCTCATTCTTTCTCTTCCTCCGATTTATTTGACTATTTTTTTTGTCTCGAATTTTTTTTAGTACGTGTTAACTACAAACAAAAAAGTAAACTGCACACTTGTGAGACGTTTTACACAATGCCAAAGTACGAATATTACTATTATGACGAAAATAATAAGTCTAACAAGCACTGTTCAAAATAACAAAATGTCATTACGGTGTTCTAAATGAATTACGCGATGTTTTTTTCAAATGCCGTTTCTTTTTCTCTTCATCCCATCTGTTGGGTCGATGAAATGGGAGCAACTGAATCGCCAAGAGCAATAGTAAAGTCGTGAACTTTTGCGATTTTTTTTTGACAACATGGCATAAATTTTCTTTTAAATAACCACTTTCATCGGTTTGTATACGGCAATGATTTGAACGGAGCAATCACTTCCGAAAGCTAAACTGGTAATTTGGGCTCCTATTTGCTGGTCAGTAACTGTGATCTTTGCCAAGAAATGCCAGCCAAGAAATTAGGACATGTTTTGTTTGCAAAAACTCTGGTAATTCATTCGAAAATCGCAGTGGTCCGAATAAAAGAGTCAAATATTAAAAATAAATTGAATACAAATCGTACATTTTTCCCCCCATGAATATAAATTAGATGTGGTGAGAAAAAAAAGAAAACATACGTAGAAATGTCGACATTAATTAACGCAGAACAAAACCGAGATTTGAATCGGCTGATGAGATTCTCGCAGCGATTTGCCCATGTACTTCAAGCGATCGTTCGTTCTATTTCAGTGAAATTCGACGGGCTTTTTTTTCGTTTTTCTTTCGTCACTCAATTTCTTTATTACTTCCATTTGTAATGTGTATTATATTCGTAACGCTGTCGACAGCCATTGATGATGATAATAATAATGGGCACTATAATAGTCGTATAATCGTCGTCATAGCTTAAATGCCAAAATCTAAATCGAAAAAGGAAAAAAGAAATCATACAACAAAAACACATAATAATCACTTCAATGCTCCGTTCCGTTATTTCCACTTCCATTGATATAATGAGCCGTTGAAAAATGCTCATTGTTTCCGTAATCGCGAAAATGGCCAACGCTCTTTTTTCCACTATTTTTTTTTGCTGTTGAAATGATTTTGTGTTGTGCTGAAACGGACGGTAAAAAAGAGAGAAAACAACTGATTCGATTTGAGTCGTTGAAATAGTCATAATCGTATGCCGTTAGTAGAAAGAGAGGGAGAGAGCTCGAAATTGAGTCACTCTAGCGTTCGGCATCCATTTATTTAAAGTGTGAATAAAGAAATGATTTGGAAACATCCAAAAGGTCCCGTGTGTAAATGAGTGGGGCGTACGCGTGACACAGAAAGAGACAGAGTCAGAGACAGAAACTGTAAAGTGTGGTAGAGTGGTGAAGCAAAAGAAAAAAATTGACTGAGTCATCAGGGTATCCAACAATTGAATCATACCGTTCTGATGATTTTTGTTGTATTTTATATTCTCGGACTTATCCTTTCGTTTGCTTGATCGCTCCCTCGCTCGCTTGCTCGCTCGTTCGTTCGTTACTTTCCTCGTTTTGGCACAAATTAATTCTCTTTTTTTCTCTTGCGTTTCGTTTTTTTTTCTCTCCATTTTCAAGTCATAAAAATAAATGTGCATTGAAAGCAAGAGATTACGTTCATAGTGCTTTGTCCGACACGCCACACATCTCTCTTAGTCAGTCTCGTTGTTGAATGAGCCGAAATAATTTCTTGGTGAAATATTTATTTCAAATTTTATTGCCATAGTCGAATGGAGTGAAACATCAAATGAAGAATATAAAGCATACGATTTTTTTTCTCAAGAAAAGCAAAGAAGCAAACCGTATCGTGGCAAAAACATTTACAGAATTGCAGCGTTATCGAACATCGGCTGATTTATTGGTTCGGTTCGTTTCGTTTTGGCTTGTTTCTTCTGCAATCGCTCGTTCGCTCTCTGCGTGCAATGCAATTTGAAGCATGAATGAGGCGGCGTTGAGTTACACAGAAAAATGGTGTGTTGCATTTGAGGAGCGTGAGTGCGCATTTGCTCTAAATTAAGTTGAAAAAGTACATTATCGCCCATTTTATTTGTTTAACGATGATTCTGAACAGTGAACAGTGAACACACTTTCGTATTGCACAACAAGATGTTTGAAACGTGCAGAGAACAATGCTACGAAAATACGTTGTTGCTGCACTGCTATCAGTAACTTGGCATAGCGTAGTGGAAATCAATTCAGAAGAAGCATTGCCTCAAAATTGTGCCAAATCTCCACCGATACATCCATTGTTCCATTCCGAACAGGCTTGTGACGCAATCATTGACCGACCACAAATTCACTCTTCTAATTTCCATATGACCTATTATTATTTGTTATCGCACATCAATTGAAAATCGTTGGTGCTACAATCGGATTTTCCATCCAAAAAGTAAACCGAAAACGGTCCATTCAATTGGAATTGATAACACACACATAATGCGTGTCAATTTTCTTTCTTTTATTCATACATTCTTCTTTTCTTTTATTTGCTCATTAGGTGTACGTAACAGTTCGAGCAACGGACAATGGACGACCAGCACTGGACGATGTGTGCACTTTCAAAATCACCATCGAAGACATCAACGATAATCCGCCCGTATTCGATAAAGTGAAATATGAGCAATCAATCCCGGCCGATTTGCCGGTGAACAAAGTTGTCATGCCGATCACGTCGTACGATTTCGATGACGGCGAAAATAGCATCATCAAGTATGAACTGTTGGCGGAAAAAGACTATCAGTACTTTCGCATCGATGAAAACAATGGATTGATTTATCTGTCGCGACCCATCGACCGCAGACCGGGTCAATACTACAATTTAATTGTACGCGCATCAAACATTGTGCCCGATCATCCGCAAGATGCTCAAACCGATGTACGCATCAAAGTCATTGAATCGCACAAAAAGCCACCGATTTTTTTGGACGTACCCAATCAACCAATCTATTTGCAAGAGAATTTCACCGATTACAGCAAAAGTTTGGTCACAGTGCGTGCAATGTCAAATGTACCGGAGAAATCGGGAGTCATTTTCGAATTGATCACCGGCCGTACGGAACAAACGAATAGCAAAAAAACATTCGTTTTTAATCAAAGCGATGACACCGCAACTATTTCACTCGGAAAATCGCTCGACTTCGAAGCCATCACCGAATACACGCTGACAATGAGCGTTCGCAATACATGGGATTCGAGCGCTGAAGTTATCATCAAAATCAAAGTCGAAGATGTCAACGATAATATTCCATACTTTACGGAAGTGACGAGCGGTTCGATTTTGGAAAATGAACCACCTGGTACACCAGTGATGCAGGTGCGAGCATTCGATATGGATGGCACATCGGCAAATAATATCGTATCATTTGAATTGGCCGACAATACGGAATTTTTTACCATCGATTCCGTCACCGGTAACATCACCGCGCTCACCACATTCGATCGAGAAGAACGCGACTATTACAATGTGAAAGTGATTGCCACCGATAATTCACCGTCCAGTCTCTATAACACCGGACAACACAACAAAGGTCAACAAGTGTTTCGCATTGAAATCGCCGATAAAAACGATCATAAACCGAAGTTCGAAAGCACCGAATATACGGTGAGCAATTTGCGTGAAGATGCTAATCAAAATTTCAAAGTGATCGAAGTGAAAGCGGTGGACGAAGATGACGCATCGCAAATATTCTACTCCATTGTCACCGGCAACATTGGCAATGCATTCAAAATTGATGGCGTCACTGGTGTGATCACTGTCAATTCCACGCTGGACTATGAGAATATCACCGATTATTCGTTGCATGTGCGTGCCTACGATGGTATTTATGACGATTATGCAAACGTTAAAATTTCAATTGAGAATATCAACGACAATCCGCCGGTGTTCATGCAGGAAAAATACAGCACAACGATCGATGAAGAGAAAGTCGTTGAGGGATGCATTTTGAATATTGAAGCTTTCGATCCGGATATCAAAGATAGAACAGCTCCACAATACATCAAATACTATATCGTAAAGGAAGAGCAACAGCCGTTGCTAGCAATTGACACCAATGGTTGTTTGCGAACATTGAAACCGCTCGACCGTGATGCACCTGATGGCCATAAGCATTGGCAAATTGTCATCGCTGCCGTCGATGAAGATGGAAAGGGTCTGAGGAAGGCAACCGAAGTCATTATCACATTAAATGATATCAACGATAATGCACCGTTCCTCACGAATCGAATGCCCGTCATTTGGGACGAAAATCAACAGGCTGGCAACATTGTCACACTCACCGCCGATGACTACGATGAACCGAAAAATGGCGCTCCATTTTCCTATGCCATTGATGCGGATGCGGACGAAGATATTCGGCTTAAATTCGATGTGACTAACGATAATTTAGTGGCATTAGATGTTTATGATCGTGAACAACAAAAGGAGTACTTCATTCCGATTATGATTAGCGATTCCGGATTTCCACGCATGAGAAATGTTAGCATTTTACATTTGATCATTGGAGACGTTAATGACAATCCAATGCGTGAGGGACAGAGCAAAATATTCGTATACAATTACAAGGGAGAGGCACCAGACACGGAAATTGGTCGTGTTTATGTTGAAGATCCCGATGACTGGGACTTGCCCGACAAAATGTTCGAATGGAAAGACGATATGCCCGATCATCGCTTCGAATTAAGAGATGGTATGATCACTTTGCGAGAAGGAACACCAGCCGGTGAATATGAGCTATTTTTCAAAGTGACCGAAGAAAGTCTTAACGTGCCCAAACACAGTGTCGAGGCCAAAGTGACTGTTACCGTTAAAGAGATTCCAGAAGAAGCGGTTGACAAAAGTGGTTCAGTTCGTCTGTATGGAATCACGGCTGAGGAATTTATCAAACCAAAACGTCAGGCCAACGGCAACGAAATCAGCTTGAAAGATCAATTCAGAAACAGTTTGGCGCGCATTCTGAACGCATCGATCGAAAATGTTGACGTTTTCACTGTACTCAAAAATGATAACGCATCGGTTTTGGATGTACGATTCTCGGCGCATGGCAGTCCATACTACGAAGCTGAACGTCTGAATGGAAAAGTTTTGTTGCATCAACACGCGCTGGAAAAAGAGCTTGGCATCAAAATTTTGATGGTTAACATTGATGAATGTCTGATCGAGCGTAGCAAATGCCAAGCGGCCTGCACAAATGTCCTACATAAATCAAGCGTTCCGTTGCTCGTGTACACCAACACCACATCGTTCGTAGGCGTGAATGCATTCATACAGGCAGAGTGTACGTGCAGTGCGCCCGCACGGCCTGTTTGCTTGAATGGTGGAACGTTGCTAAGCGATTTCTGTGTGTGTCCGGAAGGTTTTGAGGGGCCGCATTGTGAGATAATCAACGTTGGTTTCAGTGGCAACGGCTACGCCATGTATCCATCGATCAATCCGTGTGACTCCATGAAAATAACGCTCGACGTCATTCCAAACATAGACCATGGATTAATCATGTACATCGGACCCATTAATTACAATCCATTGTTGCCAGTGTCCGACTTTCTGTCGCTCGAGCTCATCAAAGGCTATCCAGTCCTGAATGTCGACTATGGTACGGGAACAGCGCACGTTGAGCACAAGCACATCAAATTCATTCCGGGCAAACTGCATCAAATCGAAATTGTATTGCAGAAGACCAGCATCGAAATGACGGTTGACAATTGCAAAATGTCATCGTGCATGACACTGGGAGCACCAGTTGGACCAAATGAATTTTTGAATGTAAATGCACCGCTACAATTGGGCGGTTCCGCTACTGATCTCAACACTCTGGCAATGCGTTTCAATTGGTCGCATGTGCCGACGACCAAAGGCTATCACGGATGCATTAAGAATTTAACAGTCGATGGCCGCACATACAACATCGGTACGCCGAGTTTGTCAAAGAATGCCGATCCAGGATGTCAACGCTCCGTTGCGGTGGCCGTGTCATTTGGCATTAACACCAACTTTTTGATTGCCATTCTCGTATGCTTGGCCATTTTGCTAGTATTGTTCCTGGCCGTGGTTGTGCACAAACGCCATCACGATGGATGGCATGAAAAAGATATGGATGACATTCGCGAAACAATCATCAATTACGAGGATGAGGGTGGCGGCGAACGCGACACCGACTATGATTTGAATGTATTGCGATCGCCACCGATCTACGAAGACAAATCGTTTGTCAAAGATCATATGCTGCGACAAGAGCCGCACGAAGTGCCCGACATCGGTGGCTTTTTGGTTGATAAAAAAGACACATGTGACAAAGACACAGACGCACATCCACTCGACGATGTTCGTCATTATGCGTACGAAGGTGATGGCAATAGTTCGCGCAGCAGCCTATCCAGTTTAGCATCATGTACAGATGATGGTGATTTGAGATTCGATTATCTGTCGAATTTCGGGCCAAGGTTCCGAAAATTGGCCGACATGTACGGTGAAGAGCCGTCCGACGTTGATTCAAATGTTGACGACGAGGATTGGAGAATATGATCGTATCCAATGTACGTGTATGCACGTTACTAGAAACACAAATAAAAGAAATAAACACAAAAAATCGACAAACAAAATATTCGAAATCTAGCAACAATTTAAGAACGAAAACAATTGCATGTGTTAACAAAAACGAAGAAAATGCAAGCAACAAAATCGAGAAAAATTCAGTATAAGGAGCCAATCATCAGTGTGACAACAAAGCGGAGAAATGAAAAGAACATCGAACAACAGCGTCCCAATACCGAATTAGATTGAAGTAAAATGTCGAACAAAAAACAAGCATGAAAACAAACAGCAGATAATAAAATAATCTACGTTAAAACATAAGGAACTCAATCATATAAGTAGTCGCATCGCCAAAGACTTCATTAACTGACAAGTAAGTACTTACGTTTGAATCATATTTACTATAACATTGTAATATTGCTCAGTTTGAATTGTAGTTTCTTATTTCGAAATGGATGATAATGCCCTTGCTCTTGTTGTATTTTTGTTCGTTGTTGTTCAAACCGTGAATTAGGCATTCCCACTTCATATTACACTTCATATTACGTATATATAAAATATCAATTTTTCATATGAAAGAAAATATACTCATGTGTGTCTGACTGACTGTTGGTTTTCTCGATTATGCTACTCGCGTTTTTTTTTTTATTCACATATATATGAGAATGTTGCTTCAACTCGATCTAACCTAACCAGAAGAGATGGATTGAATCCCGCTGACTTATTACTTGAAAAGATTATTATCTCTGCTGTTGCTTGGGACGAGCACAGCATGCAGTACATTTCCAAAAGCCGTCTAAGCCAACACATTAATTTCAATTATCTATATTTTCGATTTTATTCAACTTCACTACTCTCCATCTCTCTCGCGTTCATTAAATTCAATTAAATCACTGTTGTTAAATAGGAAAAAAATAAAAACCAACAACTCGCGCATTCATACCCATCCAACACAATACGCGCCATGAGTAACAAATATTTCGAATCAAACGGGGAGAAAATAATATTTGATTAAACATCAAAATGGTAGCTCGGGCTCAATGCCGACCGCAATTACTCTTTCAAAACAAGCTGTTGATCAAGAGGGAGAAATCAAGTAGACCATCGCACAAAAATCACAATAAATTTCCAAATAATCCATTACGTACGTCATTTTTATTGAAATTAATTGATTAATTCGAAAGAATACGTAGCCAGCGAATCAGAGAATGAAAAAGGGAGAGAGAGGGAGAGATAGCGAGGCAGAGGATGCAATGCGTGCAATAACTTATAAATTTTTAATGTGGAAAATATAATAATTCAGGGGAATGCAGGCGACTATAGTCTATGTATACATTTTTCCCGTCGAATGAACCATCAACATTTAATGAGGCTAACAATGCACTTTTGATCGGCATCACATCAAATTCGTTTTTGATGATCAGTTTATCTTCGTTGATGAACGCAAGCTGAATAAAATCGAAAAAAAAGTATATCTTTCCATGTGAAAAATGATCAAAATGAGAAAGAAATATAAGAGAGAGAGAGAGAGAGAGAGAGAGAGAGACCAGGAGAGACAGAGAGAGTTACAAGGCGTTTTGATTCATTCGCAGTGTGTTATTTGTTGTCTCTGGAATGAGTCGAGAAATCAACTGTCTAAATAAATTCATCATTGATTGACAGACCCGTAGCTCATGCGTTCCATCCACAATCGAATTGAATCAGCATTAACAAAGGACTACTTTTTTTTACTCTTCTATTTCTTTTGCTCTCTTTATTTTGATGTCAAATGCATTTGCATACTTTCCTATTTAGATTTGAAATTCTTTTGGCTTTACAAATGAAAAAATGGAAAAAACGATGAAGAAGAAGAAGAAGATGAAACAACGCAAATCAGAATGAATGCTTGAAAATTGCCTGAGACGATGCACTTGGAATCATTGGTGCTGTCACTTGCAATGATTCCAATTTTATCTGCACACAAAGGCAATAACCCAACAATCGAGCCCATTCGAATGAAAACACACAACGGGAAGCATAAATAGTCATCAAACAAACAGTTTTCGGGGTATTTTACTTAAAGTAGTCGATTGAGCAATAATAAAGTCATTTCAAATTGATCGCCCTTATCAGAGCCCGTATCAATCAGATACATTTAACCAAACGATAAAAGCGGTAAAATCAAATAAATAATCGGTACAACCTCATATACAGATTGTAAAATGAAATCAATTTTCCTCGTAAGCATTGTGATCTGACGAAGAACTTGATTCAAAACATTTTATATACCGACCGCTCTGGGCTGGAATTCTAAGTCATTCCACCAAAATCATTCGGAATTATTTTTTTTCGTACATAAGACCATATTGGAGTGAAAGAGAGAGATTCCACTATTTTTCAGCGTTCCACCGGAATTATTTCTCACACATTCCACTCTTCCTTGAGTTATCGGAATAATTCCGGTGGAATGCTGAAAAATAGTGGAATCTCTCTCTTTCACTCCAATATGGCTTATGTACGAAAAAAAATAATTCCGAACGATTTTGGTGGAATGACTTAGAATTCCACCCCTGGCATCTGAAGATTTCTTTTTTTGCTTTTCTTCTTTTTCGTTTGTATAGACTCTCTCTTTGTGATTCAGTAAAGTGCTTATAATTATAATTATTAATCAGTTAAGTGCTGCACGATTCGTGCATAATTTGATCGGGTGTATTCCCGTGTCGGGCCGATGATAATATTTGTACAGTTACGACATAGGAAATACGGAATGGATTTTTTGGCTGGTAAAATTCATTTTTTTTCTCCAGCAATGGTTGCAAATGCATTTTCTTTGTTTGAATTGTGAGCAAACCGAACATAGAAGCCGGCAAAGCAGTCATAGGAAATAAAACAACAGCTATACCTGCCTGTTCTCGAACCAAGCATTGTACAAAATTAATCGTCGAGTATTCAAGGACTCTTGAAATAAGGCTAAATTATTGTTAAAGCAAAGCATTCTAACTTGTTTGTTTTTTTCTTCCTTCTTTACGCTTCTCAACGGTTCTCGAGTATATAGTGGATTCGTATTGTTGTTATGCAAGTGCAGAGAGGAAGACACGCGCAAAATAGTTTAAAAAAATTTGAAACAACAAAACGGAAAAGATGTGGCACGAATTCAAAAGAGAGAGAAAGAGAGGGAGACGGGAAACGAATAACGAAATTGTTTATCTCCCAAAATTTGAATGTGAACTTAAATTATATTTTCTTTCATTTATTAGTATCATAATCGTCATGGCGTCATGGGGAGGGGATGAGAGGTGAAGCAATGCAAAAACATTGGCTAATTGCATGCTTTTAACTCTCTTTACGGTTTTTGCCGTGTATAGAAAGTTTATCGTCTGAAATAATAATTCGCCTGCAAAACGCTTCTAATGCGGAGACGCACACACATATGAGTAACATCGCTTTTGTTGTCGTTGTAAACCAGTTGAAACTTCGTGCCGAAACTTTGATAGAACTGTGATTGTGTTTAGCCTTTTGGCTTGAGACTGCATCGACTGCATGCAATGCACTTGCAATCATCTCGTTTATGCAATAAACCTATTTGAGTGAAGAAGTGGATATGGTATTCTTGAGCCAGAAATTATTTTCTCGGTTTGTGTTTAGTGGTTTATCTTCGCCAATATGTTTGTTCGCATTTTGCTCTTGCATCAATATTCAGTCATGTCTTCTTTTTTTGGTTTCAACGTTAGCATTTACGCAAAATTCACATGAGTTTATGTTGTATGTTTCATGTGTTCTATATTTAAACGGAGTTCTCTCATTTCAATAACGAAAATCAAATTAAAACGATCGACCAAAAGGTGCACCAACAGGCTTTAACAGCATGATTCCAGCATTTCCCATTCCCATGAAAATCCATCCATACTTCGAAATTGTTTTCTGAACTCAACCGCTCTCTCTCTTCCTCTCCCTTTCTATTCGAATTTGCGAACAAATCTTCTGCATCTAAATACTTTTAAGCTGTTCCGAAATTGGCAGTCGTTTGTCGTTTGAATATGCAACGCAAACTTTAGTCCAAATATCGTTTGTTTATTTTTTATATGGCAGTTGTTGCTGCCATTTTACATGTAAGCCCTTGCGACTGACATGGAAACAAAGCGACACAGTCGAAAAATAAAACTGAATGAACACAAAAAACGAAGTCCTATTCAGATTTGCTAAACACAAACAACAGCAATAATGTGAAAAAGAATGGAGTAAATCAAAGAAAAGCCATGTTTTAGTGTTTGTTTCCTGTGTACAGTTGCGTTTCGCCATGCTCACGTCAATTCTGAATTGAAATAACCATAATTGCTACAATATTATATCGTCAATGGTTCTGTGAGCTACGAATGATGGCAACATAAGCAAACAAATAAATCAAGGAAATTAAAATCCGGCGACGAAAGTAGTTTTAGTGTGTGTTTGTGTGACTTGCAAACGATATTTTCCATTTTCGGCACTGAAGTTATGAACGACGACGACAACAAGAGCGACCAAAACATGCACCACTATATCAAGGTGTATCTATCCTGTTTGGTTCGGCCAAACCCACCAGCAAAATGATCACAGCATTGCTGCATATGGAAGTCGCGCGCGCGATACACTCAAACAACACCACACAATCAATTGTGTTGTGGTACAGGGAACAAGGAACAAAATAGACGAGATGTGTAAAGTGGATAGAGCTAGAGAGCTAGAAAGAGAGAGAGAGAGAGAGAGAGAGAGAGAGAGAGAAAGAGAAGCTAACCGAACGTACGATGAAAAAAACACACACACACACAAAAACTATGAAAACATGTTCGCTGCTACTGTTGTTCAAATGCGGTTGTTGTTCACTTGCGCGGCTTATTTAACGTGTTTTACGCTTACCACATGTATGCACTGCTGTTAGCCCCACGACTTCATCGCAATTTGTCAGTGTTCAACCATTTATATTTCTATTTTCCACTGCTTCTCTCTTTTTTGTTGCTGTTGTTATTGCTGTTGCTGTTGTTATAGTTTAGCATCGTTCTCCATTCGTATTGCATGGGTCTTGAATACATCCCAAACTGTCTTCTACAAATTTTCCATCTATTTGGCTCACAGAATGCTACACTTTTGTCTTCTAGTTCATTGGTTCGTACATTGAAATAATCGCTTGCTCAAATAATTTTTTTTCCGTCGTTTCTCGGGCAAAAGAAGCAAATAACGCTTAAAAGCCAAACGGCAAACGAAGCTAAATTACAGACGAAGTAGAGAAGGGAAAAAATTGTAATAAATTTAAAACACGACGAAATCGCACAACAGAAAACGGAAAAAAGCGGCCAAACGAGCATGTGTTATAATGTCAATAGACACAAACATATTTTTTTCCTTTCTCGATTTGAAGGAACAAACAAAACAGATCATCATAATAGTTGATTACATTACACACTTGAACATGTTTTTTTTTCTCGTCCCCATCCATGTAGAGAATTGGATTTTGTTGCTAGAAAATTTGTTTTTTTATTATTATTATTTTTTTTAAACACGATTTTAAGTCAAACGATTTGGTTTTTTTTCAGGTCGAACTCAATGCGCGGTAATAATCATTTGTTGCTTGACCACAATTACTAATTTTCCAAAGAAAAGAATTCAACGCCAATTGTTTTTTATTGTGAAAAAAAAGAACAAAAAGTCTTCGTTGCACGAAATATTGGACAAATTTTTTTCTTCATTTCATTTATGCTAATATACCTTTAAAAAACAAATGTCATTCAGCCGGTTAAGTGACTGTCGAAATCGAAACTATTGAAAAATGGATTAAGAGGGAGAATGATGGAAGCGCCAGAATGAACTCAATTCAACAAACACTCTCCATGTCAAAGCGGTTAATTCTATTTTCTTCTTTTTTTTCCATCGTCTTCTTTTTGAAAATGGAGAGAGTGGACGTAAATTTTTCAGCATAAATTCACAGTGAAAAATTGATGACAGACAAAAGTCAATTTACATTTAAGTAAGAGAACAAAAAAAACAAACTATGTGGGTCAAAAGAAGACCGATGAGATAATTTCCTTTAGCCATTAATACACGTGTACATTACTACATTATATCGCATTTAGATCATAGGTCATGAAAAAATTTAAATAAGAAGCTCTTTTAGACACATTTCCAATGCTGAGATAACGATTTATTTACAAAGCAAAAAAGACTTAATTTTACGCCTAAAAATGTATTATCGAATCAATGATGGAATATTAAAGGTTCTTTAAGTTCAAAATTTTTTCAATTTTTTTTTCCTTCAGTTTTTTTCTAAGTACTTTTTTTTCCTATAGAATTGGCTTTATCTATAACAAGACAAGAAATGGTGGGTAATGAAACATAAAAATGATTCAATTGATACAAAATTAATTTCAATGTGGCATTGTTTGAATAGACGGGTGAAACAAACGGTGATAAATCCTAGACGCATGTCACGACGTTTTATTCAAACATTTCAAATTGACTTTCGCTAAACGCATCGCTCCCATAAAACACTGAGCCAATTTCATTTCTGCGAAAGATATAACGTATACACAACTTTCGCTCTCGAACCGAGCACTGCGTAGTTATAACATACATGTAGATGGAATGTTGAATTAAATGTAATTTATGGGTCCGATAAAAGCAACCAACCAACGGTAACGGGGAATCTTCAACGTTGTTTTCATCAATTAGCTCGTTCATCATGCATATAAACTGAAATCAAAAAGCCACAAATGCAATGCTTTACACTGAACACACACACAAACACACACACAGTTGTTTTTCCATCAGTTTGTTTATTGTAACCCGATACATTCTCCATTCTCGTTCACGTTCGGTTTCATTGGTTGGCTTTTCAATATTGCTGCGAGTGGAATAGGATTAACATTGGTAATGTAACGCATGATAATAAGTTCAATATTGATTCGTATTCGTGGCTTTTGACAAAATATTGATATACCTACGTATACTTCTTTCGCCACGCAATGGCAAAACAAACACACCAACAACCAAATAAATAAACATTCCAAACCCAAAATCGAAATCATTTGACGTACATTTTCCGGGTATTTGATGCACAAATACTCAGCAAATGGAAAATATTGCTTAGTGCGTTTTGAATGTTTTTAAATACAAATTTGTTTATGAAACACAGCCAAGCTGAGCTACAACGATATAAGTTGGATTGTTGCACTGTCTTTCGCATAAATTTCCATCATTTACCATAGCATATTTGTGAACTTAACTCCTAAAATGAATGACTAATTTATGACAAATAGATCGTTATTCGTTGTGTGTGTCAATGTAAACTACGAATGAGGATGATCAGAAAGATAGATTCACTCTGTTGCATACTCTCTCTTTAAGTTTATATTCGGTCGGTATGTTTGGTTCTTCGTTACAACACTCTTGGTCATAAATTAAATGCACGGGCTTCGAATCCATAGAAAAGTTAGAGAATCATTGTGACCGTCTTGCAGCTGAATCGGTGTAGAAACGAAACTGAATTAAAATCCGAAACGCATTATTAGAACATAAAATGGCACGTAGCATAAACATACGAGTTTTTTTTTCTCTACTTCTATTCGTTTTATCGTCTTCTTTCAAAAATAGAGAAAATGCTAAATTCAGGGAAAAATATTTGAAATTTTATGTTCCATTCGTTCATCCGTCGATAGTAAAAGCAAAGTAAGTAGAAACCAACTGCCATAAATAAAGATAGCACGAAAAACCAAAATTGACACAGGCTAACAAACGGAAGAGATTCAAATGCTAATCAAAATGTAAACAAACCAAAACGTGGGTATCGATGATACGGACGCCTGTGTGCGTGTGAGAGATAAGAAAACGGTGACTCAAAAAATGTGCATCGTATATGTGTATATTGGTTTGTCACATACCAAAAAAATGCTTATCCACTCGAAAAATGAGCACGAAATTTTTGGATCCAGACAACAACAACAACAACATTGATCGCCATCAATTTTATGGGTGTTTATTGATCGATAATAACAATGCTCGCAAGTCCTATAAATAATTATCGCATTCTTGGTCATCATCTTTCGTGGCCGATAAGCGAATGAAAATCGTTGAATCAACACACGCGAGACATGCAAGCGATAATCCAATCAACAAATATAGAACAACATCGACTTTGCACGCGTACCGCTTCCAATCCACACATTTCGTTTTCTTTCTTGTTTTGTATTTCATATGTTTTCGTTCTTTTTTTTCGTTATAAATTTTCTCGTTAATTTTCGTCATAAATTTCCACTGATTCACTGAGCGCACTATTCGCAAACCAAGCGCAGTCATCAACTGGATATTGTTTTGTTTCTTGGTAAACTGCTGCATACAAATATACTAAATGAAGAAGAAGAAGTAAGAAACAATCATTTAGTTTCGGTGGTACTCATTTCGAGGTTTCAACAAATGAAATTTCGGTTTGATTACATTTAATCAAACTTGTTGAAAACCAACAGCACAGCAAAAAGAAGAGAAAAAAACAACATCAAAGGACTGTTGATTTGTAATAGCAACACAAGCCCATATACGGATATTTATTGTTCATTAACATTACTTACGAAACTATGTTCGTGTCCGTTTAGTCTTTTGCTTTCGTTTTGAAAGAAGAAGAAAAAAACGCAGAATTCACCTGGTTTTACTTTGATCATGCAACATGTGAGAAACTTGTGAAAACACCAGAAAACATAACAAATGTTGACGCGATGCCTTCTAAACTCGTAATTCATATTTGTACATGACAACACGACGACGCACAAAGAGCTGACTTAAGCACACGATATTATTGCTTATCCAAATGTTTCTAAATTAATTATGGCTTTTATTTTCGCAGTTGTTCAACTTTCAGTTCATTCATGACACATCATATAATTTTATTTGGCGACAAATGGCTACCAGAAATTCTATGTCATGTCTTCGAGAAAATATATGTTCAACGTCGGAAAAAATTATAAACAGTTTCGCAAATAAAACGAACTTTTTGGCAATAGACATTAGGGTGGTTCGACTTTTAAAAACATAATGATCATATTCGGGACACGGCTCAATCGTAATAGAGCCTCAATATAAGTAATTTTTGATCTACGACTCAGAATTCAGAAGACATCCTGAGATGATCTGGGCAATTTTGTCCAAATTATTTGCTCTTAAAAAATATGGAGTTTGTCTCGAGTTCGGCATTTATCACTTTCCAGCGGTGAAGATAATGTAAATTTTACATTTTACAATGACTAGAAGCCTTAAAAAATCTCATTCCAGGTCATTCCACGCAATCTTAAACTGGACCATCTCAGAATGCTCAGGCCCTTTTTCGATTAGAAAATGTCCCGGATGTGGTCATATTATGCTTATTATATACATTCATAGATTTGAAAAATCAATCCACCCTAATGGAGAAAGCGAATATATCAAAATATTTGTCAAAGTGTCTTTTGCGGTGCGCCATCCACACCGTTCAGATGTTTTTTTTCTTCAACGAACTAACTGAGAGAAACAACCAATACTGTTTTCTCACTATCATGTAAGAGTGCAGAAAAGTAGAACGTCGTTGATAATCCTTCGATGTAGTTTAAGAGTCACGTAAATGCTGCTGTAGTTCAAAATCATTTGGTTTGGAAATTCAGTAAGCCAAACACACGAAATTCAGAATGGACTGGCACTAGTGGCCGAAGAAAGAGGGAAAAAAATAACGTGACAAGAGAACGAGTAGCAATAGCAGCAAAATCGAATCTATTTCGCACACACGATGCTCTGCTGCAAATATTTCACTGGGTACGGGTGGTGGGGCGTAAAAAGACGAGTGTGACGATGACACAAGTTGCATTTGTGCGCACTTTGATTGGATTGCATCCATAGATTGTCGACCGCATTTCCTTCGCACAACAACACACACACACATGCAGACAACAGGAATTGCTTCGTGGTCTGCCATATCGCAATGGTTTCAAGGCACAATTCATTTTGCACAAGAGCGAAGAGCTGCAAATGAAATTTTCAAACTACTTTTTTTCTATCATCTTGTCCCACCGAAAAAAAGGAACCGAAATTGTTATTAAATTAGGTCGTAAAAATCGAAAGATTTACACATTCGAATGAAATTGGCTGATGAATGTAGCACCAACACTCGAAAAGAGATGACGATGAACTTTTTCGCGCGCGCAATGAGAGTGTGAAAAGCAGAAAATGAAATGGTTTCTATTAAATCAAGCAATGAATTCAATTGCTACGGGTTTTTGTTTCAATTTGAAACACTAAAACTTCGGTTTTCCTTTTTCAGTGATGTTGTTCTATAATTGTTTCCAAACTTAACAAGCAATAAAAGCAAGTTTTACTTGAATTTTAGTTAGTTCTTCATTGTTTTGATTGCCACTCTGCCCCTAAATTCAATTATAATGCATAATTAAAGAAGCTGTATGCTATCAATCTTTCGTCACATTTTAACTGTACACTAATGAATTACAGGCCACAATTATTTTGTCGATGACATAGCACAAACACAACGTTTCTTACTTTGAATTTTGTGGCTTATTTTTCTTCTTCTTCTTTTGTTCGTGTCATTTACATTCGCCATTCGTGCAGCTCCTGACTTGATGTACAATCGAACATATTTCTTCAATCCGTAATCCTCGACATTCCATCAATTGGTTTTTTTCTTCTCTTCGTTCGGTCGTCTGCTACATTGCACAGAGTTTCAATTTCAAAAACTTTAGTCTGATTGCAATGGGCTTTCTCTGGTTTTGGTTCTAGGCGAGGCGCTTGTCAACGCCTAATGAAATTCCCATTTGTACATTTATGCACAACGAATGTGGAGAAAAGGAGAAAGAGCCAAAGCAAGAGAGCGCGAGAGATGTAAAAATAATAATAAATAAGCGAAATAAAAATCTCAACACTGTCAACGAGTCATTGAAACTCACATCGTTCAAATGGTTGCCGTCGTCGATGCCGTTGCCGCCGCCAATCGCTACCGCCACTAGACCAATCTCTTTTAAGTGATGAAGAAAAGAAACCAAACAAATTTATCGACATTTTCCGCATGTAAACCATTTTTATACACGATCGCCCATTTTTCCACACAGACGAACACGATAAATTCAAATTGAAATAAAATCGACAAATCGTTATGTTTTTCATATGGTGTTTTCAATGGTTCATAATATATGGTTATGAGCGAATGGGATGTGCGGTGTCGATGTGCCGGTATTTAATGTGTCGAGAGAACCGAATGATGAACGA